ATGTCACAGTGAAGGGAGAAAGAAGAAAGGGAGGCCCAAGGCAGGGCAGAAACTTGCTGCAACTTTGGCGTTGTACACAGAGCCCGCCCGTTTTCAAAATCCAGCCTTTGTTCCTTTGCCAGGATAAGAAATCAGACGGCTGCTTTCATGTTTCTGCTTCTCAAATATGTCACTCTTTTCAGTGACATTCTTTCATTCAGTGTAGTGGGTAATCTGAATTGCAAGAATATTTCCTATTTTCCCATAGGACTAAATTAAGTTATTTGCATTTTGAGTGGAATAAAAGACTAAACACATTTTTTTTTTTCCTGAATCCTTGGAAAAAGAGGTTGCTCACTATTGATTTTCATAATTTTATCTGGGCAAAAGCCACTTGTGAAACCCCACTCCTATCTTAGTACAACTGTGCTAGCCCAGAACTAAGGCCAAAGGTTGGGAAATTCAGCGAGAGTGATTTGGATTCACTATAACAATAAGAGCAGCAGCAGCAGCAAGAGTCACAACAGCAGAGCCAGCTACCAGGAACAGGTGGCCCAGAGCTCCTTGTCCCTAGAAATGTGCAAGTAGAGGCTTGGTGCTGTCAGTCCCAGGCCCTGAGGAGTAGAACTCGGTGTTGGGTGTTACATTAGGACAGTCTGTTCTTTTGAGATCCAAGATTCTATTATTTTAAAGGCTTTCATTACTCTCCCATTAGAAGGATCAATTTGAATTTCTTGTATTTGAGTAGAAAATGCTGAAGAATACTGAGGTTTGAGTTTCTTATGTTTTGTGAATTTCTCACTGTTGATATTTCATCAGAAAGAATCTGAGAATGTTATGATGTAAATTGGGCCAGATTTGCTAATATATTTTAGGAACATGTAATCTGTGAATAATAAAAGAACTGATTTGAATATTGGATGATAAAACAATATTCTTAATTTAAAATAATTCTTGTTTTAAAAATAGCTTTTTTAAAACCACTTCTCACCATCTTTATTTTTACTTATTTTTTTTAATAATTGGGGTGGAGGGGACAAGTGCAGTTTTGTTACATGGATCTCTCGTGTAGTGGTGAAGCCTGGGCTTCAGTGTAGCCATCACCCAAACAAGTGTATATTGAACCCATTACGTAATTTCTTTTTTCCCCCCCACTGAAATGGAATTTCGCTCGTTACCCAGGCTGGAGTGCAATGGCGCTATCTCAGCTCACTGCAACCTCCGCCTCCTGGGTTCAAGCGATTCTCCTGCCCCAGCCTCCTGAGTAGCTGGGACTACAGGCGCATGCCACCATGCCCAGCTAATTTTTGTATTTTTAGTAGAGACGGGGTTTCACTATGTTGACCAGGATGGTCTCGATCTCTTGACCTGGAGATCCACCTGCCTCGGCCTCACAAAGTGCTGGGATTATACATGTGAGCCACCCGCCCAGCCCCCATTAAGTAATTTCTCATCCCTCATACCGCTCCCACCCTGCCGTGTCTCTGACATCTGTCCACTCTCGATGTCCATGTGTACACATTATTTGGCTGCCACTAATTCATGAGACCATACAGTATTTTACTTTGTTTCTGAGTTATTTCACTTAACATAATGGCCTCCAGTTCCATTCATATTGCTTGATATTATTATTTTTTATGGCTGAGTAGTATTCCACTCTGTGTGTGTGTGTGTGTGTGTGTGTGTGTGCACGTGTGTGTGTGTGTACCTACATACCACATTTTCCTTATCCAGTCATCTGTTGATGGACATTGAGGTTATTTCTATATCCTTGCTATTGTGAATAGTGATTATTTTTAAAACAGCATTTTGGAGTCTTGGTGTGGCACAGGTATTGTCCTGAGTGTAAGAAGTGGAGAAGGATTGTACCCGAATGTGGTGTGTAAAGTGCCCATATTTTATTTGTGTAAGTAAGAGAAGATTTCTATCCTTACCAATCGCTAGGTTCATGGCTGAGGCATCTATAACAAAAAAACAGATGAACAGGAGAAAAGTATGCACATTTATTTAATGTAAGTTTTCTGCAATATCAGAGCCTTCCGAAATGAAGACCTAGAGAAACAGGGAAACCTGTGTATTTTATGCCTAGGTTTGATGAAGAGCGGACAGAGGTGGAGAAGAGTGGTCTGATTAGACAGAGGGGAAGTGAGCTGATGGTGACAAATCGGGGGGCATTCAGCAAGGCCTGTTGGTTCAGATTCTTCTGTGTCCCTGTGTGTTCAGAGATAAGGATGTTCCTTTCCTCCAAGTATAGGGAGGACACTTCTTCAGTGAGGGTCTGATGACCTGCCACAGGGAAGAAGGGCAGGAAAAGGGCATAGAGAGGGAAAGCCTTCCTGCTTCTGCTGTCTTCTTGAATGCCAAGGTGCCATCTTTTGTGGTAGCATGTTCTGAGCCCCATCATTTGCATAGCTCTACAGACATTTCCTGTTTTTATTTTTTATTCATTTTCACATTTCAAGCATCTGCCCTTAATGTTTAGCTTTACTTTGATCTGTCAGATTTGGAATTTGATGGTCTGTAATAAATGCACGTTTTAGCATATCAAGGGCCTCATATTATAAGCAAACGAACAAACATACAACCCCTACATGAACTGTTTGGTAATACACATAATTTCTCAGTTTTTCTATTTTATAATTTGGATTTTTCTGCAGCAGGGATGGAGAGAGCACTTTTTCTATCAGAAGTCATCAGTGCACAGGAAAAATGAGTCAAGCTCAACTGAGTAAAAAGAAACTTAATTTCTCTAAGAGAGAAGTATATTCGACTTTGCTCTAAATAAGAACGGGATCAGAAATCTATCTAACAACCAAAAATGGAAACTGAGAGTGGCTGAGGATGAAAAAGAGATGGAAAGAGAATGATCACAGGAATGGACACACACAGAGACTTCACAGTAATAAAGAAAAAAAAAAATCAGGTCGAGAGACAGACAAAACGAACCACACACCCAAAGGTGGATATAGACAAGGCTGGCACACAGAAGTCCTTTTTGGGGGCTGTGCAGGTAATACCGTAACATAAGAAGAGGTGGTGGGCAGATGCAGTGACTTGAGGAGGGCCTGTCCTGTCCAAAGGCACTCAAATCCAGCAAACCCTGCATTGACCAAAGGAAGTCCATCTGCCATCCACTGGGCACCAGCATAGTTCTGAACACCCACAGAAGTGGGAGTGGACGTTTATTGAGTGCGTACCCTGTGCCAGGCCTGGTTCTGTGTGTCTTGCCCTTCATGCCTTACAATCCTCACATCATCTTGGGAGGCCTGTGCAGCTGCCATTTTTCCATGTCATACGTGAGGAAGCAGAGCTGGAGAAGCTTCCGTGAGTTGTGTGATAGCACACTACGGATCAAGGATGAGCCGAGGTTGAACCCAAGGGGCCTGGCACTGGAAACGAAAACCCACTTCAATGCCCAAGGCATGCATTGTCGCCCACACGGGCCCAGCCATCTCGTCTCCCACTTTCATCCAGACACATGGAAGTGCAGGGATAGTTATGGCAGAGACAAAGAAACACACTCAGAGAACACAAAGAAGCCTTAGAGCTAGGCGTGCATGGATTCACATCCCAACCTCCTGACTTCTGCTGTGCACATTAATTTGTATCCTCATTTTTTTATTGCATTTTAGGTTTTGGGGTACATGTGAAGAACATGCAAGATAGTTGCATAGGTATACACGTGGCAGTGTGATTTGCTGCCTTCTTCCCCTTCACCTATATCTGGAATCTCTCCCCATGCTACCTCTTCCCAACTCCCCACCCCCCGCTGTCCCTCCCCTATTCCCCCCAACAGACCCCAGTGTGCAGTGCTTCCCTCCCTGTAAACCTGGAGACCATCATTTTCAGCAAACTGACACAGGAACAGAAAATGAAGTACCGCACGTGCTCACTCTTAGGTGGGTGTTGAACAGCGAGAACACACGTATCCTCATTTAAAGCTGTCAGTGCTGTTGTGGACCTCTGAAAGATACACCAGTAAATGGGGCCAGAGTGAAGGAACACTCCTTGACAAATGCCTGCTTTTTTTTTTTTCTTTAAATTTAGTTTACTTTCTTGTTTTGACCTGGCATAAAGTGCCCATAAGAATTTTCTAGAGACAAAACTAGGCAGCAGGTTTTTTTTGTCAGGTGAAAATGGTGTTCTAGGATTTCCATGGTTGCATTGTGCCTAGCTGGTAGTAGGCAGTCAGTGTTGATAACTGGATCATGAGATTTTGCAGTTACTTAACAATACCCTCCTAATTTTCAGGATTTGTATTTTTATCTATTCTATTTGTATGTACAATGTTTTCCTAGTTATCTCAGAAACTTCCGTAGGCCAATGAGGTAGGTATTATGATTTCCATTTCCCAGGTGAGGAAACCAAGACCCAGAAGGTTAGCTGTCTCAACTGAGGTCTTACAGCTGGCAAATGATGGAGATGGCTCCTGAGGGCTTTTGTTCTAAATCCATGTTCTGTCCTCTAGGCTGCACTGCCCTTCAGTGATTTAAACGGAACGCCATGGCTCAGTCTCTAGGGAGATGTGCTTTCCAGAGCTGTAGCATTTCTGACAAAGGTGAAGTTCTGATTTTTTCCCCCTCTCCTGGAAGGAGGAATATTAAATATCTGCAGTGTCTACATGTCTTTAACCTTCCTCCCAATCCTTACTACCTCTAGGAGGTTACTTAGAACTCTGATTTCTGTTTGTTTTTAATATCCCTTTTTATTCCTCTGCAATTGAAAAAAGACATTGAGTATGCTGCTTAAATGCAGTAGATTTTTCCTAGACTGTTTGATAATATCTATTTTATAAAGGTTCACTACCAAAATCAGTTGTGATAATAGCCATAATAGTTTGAAAGTGATGTTTTCCATTGCAAATTTGCGTATCGCCTAGGCTTTGATATTATTTTGAGTAAATATTGGAAAATAATATTATTTTAAACCATGTTTTTATTTCCAAAAATTCTAATTAAAAATTAAACATCCTTTGGAACAAAGGAAACACCTGCCCTTTCCCAATTCCCACCCTGACCCTTTATTTTGCTCTATTTCCGCATAAATGTAGAGAACTTCGTTATACGGATTGAGAAGTAGAACATTTCACTGGGGTATGCTTTGACTTCCCAGTTCCCTCAATCAAAGAAGTAAGCATGATTTTTATCAAAAGAGTGAGATGAAAGGAGGATTCCCTGCACCATCATTTTGGTTTGTCCTCTTCTTTCGGGGGATGGAGGAGCTGAAATGTGCTTACTTGTTTGCTGCGTTTCCTGCGCACAAGTACTTACCCCTCACTTTACCCGAGACCCAGTGACGAGGGAGCGTTTAGAAAAGAAGAGAGGGAAGCTAATACCAGTTGAAAGTAAAATGCTGGCATCTTAATTTTAAGAGAACACAGAAAGCCAAATGCTTTCAGAAAAGGGTCCCTTCATGGAGTAATTTGCCTGGTATGGCATCCCAGTTTGTTGTATAATTTCAGCCCCGTTACTATGGTAACCTGCTTTAGTGTCGCAGCGATTGTTAATCAGGATTTGTCGTTATTCCCCTTTCATCACGAGGCTCTATATCCTTATGGATTAAATCACAGTTCTCATCGACAATGGCATAGATCAAACATTATTGCCAGACATAAAACCCCGGGTCGCTCCCTGTCATTTCCCCCATTACCAGAAGCAGCAAATGCAAGCTGAAGTCCAACTTTTGCAAGGAAATCAGGACGCCTTCTGGCTCCTCTGATATCTACCCTCATGACAGAATTCCAAGCAAGAGGGCCACTTCATTTCCAATTACCCTGTGCCCATGGGAAGGGCGAGCACCATTTCATGCCATTGCAAACCCGACTCTGCCGATACAAATCCAGGCAAAAAGTTATTTTGGTGTGACCTCTAATTCTTCCTCAAACTTTACGCTTACTCTTATTCTCGGAGCAGTCTGCTTTTTCTTTCTTTCTCGTCGATTTTCTAGATTCTTGTCTGCTGCTTTTCAGTAGGGAGACCTTGTCAAGAAGCGGGGCAGACCAAGACGCCACCCCCATTGAGGATGTTCAGCGGGCATCACAGAGCCCGTGAGGCTCCTGGGGTGGTGGCTTGCTTTTCCCATCCGTGAAGTCTGGCGATAGCAATACCCAGACAGGGACGTGAACAGCCCTACGGCGTAGTGACTGGATTTAGCAGGGCCAGGTCGCCGCCATCTTTAGGAAAGTGAGGATGAAGGAACACAGGAGTGGTGACATGTCCCGGTGCCACGTTCCAGGTTTGGTGCGCGTCGTTAGTCAAAATGCACCTTCATATTGCTAATTGCTTTGTTTAGGAGTGAGAACCCTTAAACTACACTTGTTAATAGCCTCTGGAGCCAGTCTGCCTGGGTTCAGCGTTTCGCTCTGCCACCTTCTAGCTGTGTGACCTTGGCATGTTTTTGAACCTCTCTGAGTTTCAGTACCTAAAACCAGGGTGAGAGTAGAGCCTACCTCAGAGTCCGTGAGGATGACGTAAGTGAATATTTGTGAAGCGCCTAGGCTGGGTGACTGGCACGCCATGAGCGTTGTAAATAGATGAAAAAGAAACAACATCGCATGTACGTGTATTCAAAATACATTCAAGAGCAGATTATCCAAATACCAGTAAGGTGTTGAAAACAGTGCTCCCCCTCCTCCCCCTTCCCTCTCCCCTGCTTTTTCTCCTTGATCTCTGCAATGTGCCCAGCCCCCAAGTATAATTCTGATTGGCTAAATTAATTCTGCAGCATCCTGCTGTGAATAATTATGTTGATCCAGTGTGTATTCTGATGCCTTTTTTTTTCCCTTTGCCTAAATTATAATGTGACAATTGCGGCTCACAGCTGGCTCATCAGAGGTGGGCAGTTGGGGGATTGGCACATCTGACTGTGCTTCTCTGTTAACTCTGTGCCTTGATTGCTTAAGACAAGACATATGTAAACCCCATGATTATTGCCATTTTTATTTTTTTTGGACTTTGCAAAGACTCTGCCTTCACACACAGAGCTGCTGGGCTTGTTTTGCTGGGAGGGGGACATGTAGGAGTCTGCTTTCCCCTCCCCCTGCCTCTGCCTGCTTTTCCTTTCAGACAATAAATAGCTGTCAGGCTTATGTCAAGGATGAAATTATAGGTGCACATGAGGCCTTGATTACATTGTTTTGGAGAGATTGCTATTAGCATACTGAAATGAAGTCTAATTTTTCACTGGTGGAGCTGAGTCAAACTCCAGGGACAGGGCGTGCAGTGTGAGGCAAGAACCGTCCGATTGGAGTACCTGTTCTGTGCGGGGATCAGCTTTTCCTTCCTTACGACAAACAATAGGAATAAAACAATTCCTACGAAGAATAGCTTCGCATTAGAAAAGAAAGACCGACTGATAAAGGATGAAATAAGACATTTCGGTTAGATAAGGCTCTGTGAAATGCCTATATATGATTTTCAAGTGTGTTTAATCCATTTTAAGGCAGCATCTCGCTTATTGATTAAGCCTGTGTTGTAGCCTGAAGAATTTACCGTCTGGATTTTTTAGGCTGCTTGCTGCCTGCATAATTCATTTTACACTGCCTGGTCCTGCAAGCAGGCATCCTCTGAAGAGGCGCGTTTGTGAGCCCTCCATCCGCAGGGCGGGTGGCCTTCTTGTACTTTCGATGTTTATACGTTCTGATGATGTCACCATGTGGTCTGTTCACTTTGAAAATCCTTCAGTATAACAGCTATTCTTGGCAAGTGGTTTCCTCGAAATGTTTAAGGAATGGTGCCTCCCGAATGATGGTAGATTAATAATTGTACATGGCTTGTTATAACTGTCCTGGCTCACTGTGGTAAAAATTTAAAAATTATATGCATAAACACACAGATATATGTACACCCATGTCTGTGTGCGTGTGTGTGTCTGTGTGTAATGATAATAGTATTGTAACTTGAAAGCTTTTTCAATATCATCGTTTCATCATTACTATTATTAAGGGAAAAAAATAAGGATTTGGTATGGGTGGAGAGAGGTGTCTTCCGGTTTGAAATCTGTAACGGTGGAGAAAATTTGTAAACGGACCATATTTTGATGTATTTGAAGTGTATATTTTCAGGACCTACTACATGTAAGATGCTGCATTGTAGCCACTCCAGATTCAGAGGTGAGTTAGAGATGGTTCCTGCTGTCCAGGAGAGTGTGGTTTGGACCAGAACAAAACAAGTGTGACCACATAACCCTCGAGCAGCGAAGAACGGCGTTGCCATAAAGGAAGAACCCATATTTGCCTTGGGTTTTCTCACCCTGGCTATTTGGGTGATGTTAGGGTAAACTGAGGAAGAGAAGGGAGGGTGGAGGTTTAATAGAAGAGGTTGTATTTGAAGTGTACATTGTAGTGTGGGGAGAATTGTAAACACAGAAATAAAGACATCCCAGCAGGGTGAAACTGGAAGCAAAAGCAGGGTGAGGTCTGGTCTGGCCAGAGGTTCTCCCCTGGGATGCTCTCATATCAGTAGAGAACTGTGAGTCACACAGCTGCCGCCTGAAATCCACAGACAAAGGAAGCAGGTGAGCAGCTGCTGAGGGCTGGGGATTTTGAGGAAATGGGGGTAGCCGAATGTAGGTACAGGGGTACTTTGCGGGTGATGAAAATGTTGTAAAATGGAATATGGTGTGGTGGTTGTACAACTTTGTGAATAGACTAAAAACCATTGGATTGTATACTTTAAATGGGTCCGTTGTATGGTATGTGAATTATATCTCAATGAAGTTGTTATTAAAAAAATACCGCTGCGGAATGATGAAATCAGACTTTCTGGGTGTGGTCCTTGCTGGTCTGAGCCTCCTTAGAAGCCCTGGGCTGGAGCAGGGGCTGAACATGGCATTCAGGCTGGAAGGAAAGGAGGGGCTTTATCTTAGCCTGGAAGGGCTTGCTGGAAGGTTTGCAAAACCTACTTGCAAAAGGGAGCCATTGAAAATTTTAAAGTAGGGTCTTGGCATGTTTACATTCTTCTTTAGAAAGCTACTCACAGACGTGTGCTGGATGCTTTCTGAAAGCTGGGACGCCGCTGGGACCTTGTTAGGTCACTGGCAGAGGCAACATGGCCCTTTCCAGGTGCAGACGAGGGCCAGTGGCAGTGAGTGGAAATTGGGTAACAGATGTAAGAGACTCAGAGAGCAGAATGCCAGCAGGGCCTGGCGCTGCCTGGCTGTGGGGTGAGTGGTAGAGAAGGTCTGAGGGGCCCTCAGGTTTGAGGAAGAGTAGATGAGAAGGAACAGGCCCAGAGGAGGTGACATGCTCAGTGTTGTGTGTGTTGGATTGGAGGAACCAGCGATCCATCCCAGAGCAAGATGGGAATATATCTCTGACCCCAGCAACGGGGTTGGCCACCGAGCCTAAGGAGCATGTAGATGGGTGCGGAGGGTCAACTTCCGCAGTGGCTTAGTCATCAGTCATCAGCTGTTGGCAGGAGGCCTCAGGCCTTCACCCCGTAGGCCTGGTCACCGCTGCCCTCATGTCCTCACAATGAGGCATAAGGTTGACTTTCCCCAGGGTGAGTGGCCCAGGAGTGAGTGAAAGTCACAGTGTCTTTATAACCCTGCCTGGAAAGTGACACACTGTCACTTCTACGGGTCACACAGACCAACCATGTACAGGGTAGGAGGGACCACACGGGGCATGAGAACAGGAGGCAGGGGCCACGGGGGCGGTCCTGGGGACAGTCTACCGTCCCTTGACCCCCGGCACTGCTCTTGGCATGGCCATCCGCATAGAAAGGCTTTAAAATTGAAGAGCCCTCAGCCATCAGCTGACAGGCAGGAAGCTCATGCTGCCTGGGAAATTCCTGCATTCGCCCAACATCTCGGGAACCCTCCCCCCAAACATGCCAGGGCCTGGGGAGACAAGATGAGCAGGACACTGTTACTCTGGACTGTCACTCCAGGGAGTTCACTGTCCTTCGACTCTGAGTGGGGCAGAGACCCTGGACCACAGCAACTGTTTTCCTCAGACTGTGATGCAAAACTCCAGAGAGAGGCAAGCTGACCTGAGAGGGACCGGAAAGGGAAGTGAGTCTCCCCTGGTTTGAGGCGTTGCTGCCAGTACCTGTGCACTTGGCCACAGTCCAAAGCGACTCCACGGCGGGCACAGCCGTGGGGCTGACGTCAGACCCCGGCCTGGTGAAGCAAGCACTTGGAGGCAGCAGGCAGAAAGGGCTCCACTCAGCTCTGCAGCTGGAAAAGAGACCTCTTTTTAGACAAGAGTTGCAGATAATACTCTATTTCTGGAAACATAAGGATGAAAGGGATGAACCTTCTTCAATGTGATCCATTCAGAAGTATGTTAAAATGTATCCCTTCATATAATGAACCGTGTTTTTATTTTTAGGTCAAGGCAGAAGAGGTTTTGTTTGTTTGTTTGTTTTATGAGAAATGGAAAACTTTTTTTAAAAAGGAGGAATAGGAATTTTGGCGGGGCGCCTTGGCTCACACCTGTAATCCCAGCACTTTGGAGGCTGAGGTGGGTGGATCACTTGAGGTCAGGAGTTTGAGACCAGCCTGGCCAACATGGTGGAAACCCATCTCTACTAAAAATACAAAAATTAGCCGGGCATGGTGGTGCGTGTCTATAATCCCAGCCACTCTGGAGGCTGAGGCAGGAGAATCTCTTGAACCTGGGAGGCAGAGGTTGCAGTGAACCAAGATTGCACCACTGTGTTTCAGCCTGGGCAACAGAGTGACACTTCATCTCAAAAAAAAAAAAAAAGGAATTTAGTTATAATTAAAAAGTAATCAATTGGGAGACCAAAGCAGGAGGATCGCTTGAACCCAGGAGGTCAAGGCTGCAGTGAGCCAAAATCGCATCACTGCACTCCAGCCTGGGTGACAGAGTGAGACCCTGTCTCAAAAAAAAAAATCATAACTTGTTGAGAAGTAATTAAAGACATGCAGAAGTGAAGAGGGCAGGAAAACTCTGATGAGTCCAGGAGAGGTGTAGAGGATGTGGCAAGTGTATTTGTTGTTGTTAATTTTTTTTTTTTTTTTTTTGAGACAGAGTCTTGCTCTGTCACCTAGGGTGAAGTGCAATGGCGCGATCTCAGCTCAAGTGATTCTCCTGCCTCAGCCTCCCAAGTAGCTGGAATTACAGGCACCTGCCACCACACCTGGCCAATTTTTTGTATTTTTAGTAGAGATGGGGTTTCACCACGTTGGCCAGGCTGGTTAAACTCCTGACCTCAGGTGATCCACCCACCTAGGCCTCCCAAAGTACTGGGATTTCAGGTGTGAGC